ATTAACACTTGTTGGTGGTACAGCGGTAACGCACTTAAAGGCTCGTTTACACGATCAGTCTAGGTGCATGTTTTCGAAGCATGGCAACGAAGCCGTGTTCGGGCAGTGATCGTGTAGACGGCAACACTGAACCACCAACCCTTCCCGGGCAGTTACGTCACTTACGTGTGGGAGCCAAATAGTTGCGTGGCCACCTACGTGGGTCCCTGCCACTTATAGAGTCGCTCATATTTATATCCGTCCTGGAAATATGTGGACATACTTTATCCAAGAGTGAGCTGTACATTTCAGGGGTCATGAATGTATCGTTGCACGTCCCTTGTGTCCTCACGCTGCATTTCAGCAAAGATTTGGTTACAAGTACCACACAATTTCTTCCTTAACCAGTTTTTCACCCACACAGTCCGTGTTCTTGTTTTTTTCTTCAGTATCATCCCAGCGGCCAAAACACACAACAGTGCAGCCGTCCATTGCAGACTCGTCTGTCTGGGAGTCATGAACCTCTTGCCCAGCAGTCTACTACACACTGACCGGTAACGACGGTGTGGCAGTTCCGCGTAAACACACCGCCCACTAAACAATGGTCAGCACCCTGCTCTGACCCCATGCTTCGCCACTGATCCTAGGCGTGCGCGACCACCATACGTGGTAACTGATCGTGTAAACGAGCCCTAACTCTCGCCAAAATGTCAAGGGTTCGAGCCTCGGCCCAGACACACGTGAGAAGGGTGTTATCCAGTGTGACCCTCACTACCAAACACCACAGGTTTCCCGGTTTCCTCCTGTACTAACACTGGATAAACCGCCCAAACGGCTAGTAAGCTGATAAGTGGCGAATATGATAAAAAAAGTAACACTACTGTACACCACCACGCGCAACACCGTCCCGTAGGGCACCGCAGCCTTCACTGACGAGTTTCGTGTCGTTTGTGTGTGACTTCATCTACCGCGGACAATCTGATGAGACGACCAACTTATCTTGTTAGATTGTTTACGGCCGCTGCCTACAGCTCTAGTTTTGTTATTCAATAATACATGCAGTCGTAGCGGTGGTGGGCAAGTTGACGGACGATTACTTTATTGACTTAGTTAAATTGTTAGTGACTTGTCAAGAATTTTAAATTATTAAATCAGCCAGGTAAACATGGTGTTGATGCAGGTTCTTGTAACGTTACCTGGAACTAGAACGTTTAGTGTTGAGATGAAATTTTACGTTCCCTTGTAATCAGGTATTGCAAATGAAGATTAGGAACTGAATACTAAAGTTCATAAAACGAAAAAATCTAACTGAAGAATGAATCAAGTCCTAGGTTGCAAAATCAAAGCTGTAACTACAAATATATCAAAAAATGACGTCGATTCTTTATTTGAGACTTCCGTAACAAGATACGTTTTCTTATCACACAATTAGGGAGAAAAATGAACTTACGGCTCTGAGAATCTTCATGGAATAAGAAAGACTTTTAAAAGCAATAATTACGTCCAGGTTCTCCTCTTCACATCGACAAACATACGTAGACACCTGACACGAACACAGCCAAAGCCAACCAGATAGACATGCTGTATACAAGACATTAGCACGCTCAAAATAAACAGACATCGAGTCAGTTACACTTCAAATTTTTATATAACACAGTTCCGCTATTCTGTTATGGAAATGTCTCAAGTTGCTACAGTACAGCTTGGCACCATGGCAGTAAAGCTGTCCTTGTCTGGCACACCTTAACTTGGCACTAGTGATGAGCTTAAACTTTGTCACCTATTGCCACTATTGAGTCTTAGTTCAATTATTACTATGATCGATGGCTTCAGTTTACCAATATACTAAGAGCACAGTTTTCCATTCACCTGTCGTTGTAAATTTTTTAATTCCCTCCAAAAATTACACGATCAATATTCCCAGTGATTATGATGATATTACTTACCTTCCATTCTGAAGATTCACGTCCACTTATTTCTGTGTTATATCAGTATTTTGAGACTTCCATTTCCTCCTTATCAAATAGCTTTGTTCCTTTATTTCCATGTTATTTGATTTCTTGATGCGAAGATTCGTTACTAAGCCAGGTTAGATAAAGGTAGACGTAATATTAAGAATAAATGAAGAATCATCACATTTCACATGAATTCCAGTTAACTGTGAAGTATTAGTGTCACTGTAAGTCAGTTTATGAAGGCAAGGGTCAATGTTAAAAAGAAACACCACAAGTCATCACAATGTCAGACTTTATTTTCTTCTGTGCTTACAAACACATGAGCATCAACACAATGGTCACGTGACAGCCAATCGTCGTCCTCCAGTGGAATGGTCGGTAAGGACCAACTTCCGGTACATCACAGTGGTAAGTTGGTACTTATCAACGGCTTCCTGAGGCTCGACATGGCAAGTCACCGCTTACGTTAGGTGGGAAACAGATTTCCACATATTCACAAGGATAAATTATTATGCTAGCAGCTGGATATCTAAGGACTCTTGGATGAAAATGATTATATATATATATATATATATATATATATATATATATATATATATATATATATATATATATATATATATATATATATATATATATATATATATATATATATATATATATATATATATATATATATATATATATATATATATATATATATATATATATATATATATATATATATATATATATATATATATATACATATATATATATATATATATATATATATATATATATATATATATTTGCATGTATGTATATATGAATTGTAGGGCAATATCAGACGGTACTTACTGTACTTGCCGGGTAGTGATATACAGGGAAACACTGATCTTCAAAAATGGGAAATGAGGCGATGTACTTAACTGACAACCAGATATTCACATCCATTAACTTCCACTGCTAAACATGAATAATTTATTCTTTATTTTTTTACATTTGCTCTGTACGAAGGATTCATACAAAAATTTCCATCAACCTTACGGCGTCAAACACTATCATACAAATACAGGAATCAGAGGATTTTATAGATCAAAATTTGATATCAACTCGTCCAAGTGTTTACACTGAGTATAATTATATACATACATAGCACGCAAACCTTCATCTTCATGTTTGTTTACATGGAAATAAAATGTTTTGACAAGTTCTTACAGCTTACAGAGAAGGGGGCGCCTCAGATACACTGCGTATATATGTATGTAGAGGGAGGGAGAAGAGAGGGAGAGAAAGCGAAATAGAGCGATCATACATGTCTGAAAATATGAGATTCCAAGAATACCGGGTGAGAATCACAGCACTTTGCCTCCTCGTGCCCAGGCGCCGAGAAGCACTTGCCGTGGCGCCACGCCACTTCTGTCAAGTGTTAAGAGATAAACGACTAAGGTGTATCACATAATATATTTCATTCTGAATTTGCGATTCTGACTCGATATTTCTGAAATATCATACTTTGATAAAATATGTAGAATAACTTTATCTGAATTTTGTTGGAAAAGACGAATCCGGAAAAAATACATTTAGCATGTAGAATGCAACAAGATATTGATAACAATACCGATGCGTTCTAGTCCTCGTGTGTTGTGAAGGTACATAAGGTATTTACACTGTGTTCAGAATGGTACTGTACTGTATACACAAATAATACTCCATTCTTAGGCTGCAACAAATCTCTAGCATCATACAAACACATGCGGGTTCCTCCCTCTCTCAGGATGTTTAGCGTGTGGTGGTTGAAACACTGCCTGGGAGACAGATGTGTACCTGGGAGACACTTCTGTGCTTGGGATACAACTGTACACCCAGGAGGCAGCTCTGCACACTCACTGGTCGTTTGGTCATCCAAGAAGGGGCGGGCTTTTATGTACAGAAGAGATATGAATGCTTGTGTGTGATGCAGAAGTGCCGGGTTGTGGCACTAGTGGCTTCACGCCTTCACTCCAATATTCACAAAAATATAATTTGCAAAGGTATTAGAGAAAGGGAGGATAATTATGGGATTTTTTCACCATCACTGAAGCCTACGAGCAGATTCCGTCTTGCTGTGAGTGGGTTATGTACAGGTAATTTATCATGGAAATTATTTTTAACAATATTGAACAAAATGGTTGTGGAGGTGGGCGCTGGGTAAATGAACAATGCAGTATAAGCTATGGGAGAAACAGTTTAAACCACGCCAGTGAAGAGTCTTGGGGAAACAAGAGTGTGAAAATCTAATGTGTTGGTATTTTGAACTGTAAGACACCATCTAATCAGGACACAAATACAGCTAGAAATAAATAAATAAGAAATACAGTCATAAATTACCACTAAAAAGACTGAGTGTGTAGCAACGTTCAATCACGCCAAAACGGAAAACAAATATGAGTGGTTGAGTCAGGTAAATTCCAATGGCATTAAGGTACAACTAGCACACAACAGTACAAGTAGTAGTAGTAGTAGCTTCTTCTGGGGCTACTTGGTGACTGAACCCTCGCTATAGGTTACGGTAACCAGAAACACAGTCAAGTGGTGTTTGGGCGTATAACCTATATACGTCGCACCATTCCTCCGTTTAAACTGTCGACACGGCATTGAATATACACAAAAGCCACGCGCCTTCACACTTAAAGCTGAAGTAGTGTTTATCTTCAGTTTGTAAGTAAATACCAACACTATGAGATGGTAATCATAGAAGAACCCATATACACGATACAACTCGGTGGCAAATATTCCTGAAATCATCATAACCAAGTCCCCACAATTTACAGAACAAGTTTAAAAGTATTACAGATGGTCAGAGACTATAATCACGGCTGGATTTGTCAAGTGCATCAAGTTTCTTTGGTAATATCAGGGACATAACATACTAGAAGCCGTAAGCATTGTGTTTTGGTGGTTAATAGTTCCAAAATTCACCTGTGTGGAAGAAACGCCTTACGAACTTTTGGACTTAGTACAATAATACCAACACCACAATATCAAGGCGAGCCAAGAGGACTTATTGTCACGAAAATATTTGATGTTACGATTTTTTTTTTGTACGAAATTTCCAGTTGTTCCCTCTGCTGATGGCAGGAGTTCTTAACCCGAGAATGGAACAACACTTGCATTACGTGTTAAAATTAGATATTTATTTTAGATGATAGTAAACAGATAATTAAAATAATCAATCAGGTATATCTATAACTAAAAATGTTTTACAGATCTATTTCATTTATATTTGAGTGTACAACTGTTTATGACATGGCAGCTCATGGTATGCCCCGGACACGCTCAGAACAAAAACTTGATGCGATGATGTCATTGTTTTCCAACAGAATTTTCGTATAACAGTAATTCTAATGTCTGAGAAAATGGAAAGAATGATTATAGAAACGTACAACAGACAGTGACACCCAACCAATTTTCATCGTTGGACGCAAAAACAAGCCGGACACTCCATGTAATCTGACAACTAAAATACATTCAAGACGCCACAAGACACAGTCTGCAACTCTGGTAAACTCATAGGTTCCTGACTTAGTGCAGGCCGCCCTCAACGTTCGCAGGTTTGCTGATATTTCTAACACAAGAGAATATTCAGTGTTTTTATTTCAGTCATCATCTGGAGTTCAGTATTTGAGGAACTGGTGGGTGTGTGAGGCAGGAGTTGTGGCGACGTAGGCGACTTCTGGCCTTCTACACGGGCTTGGCTATCTAGGTAAGCAAAACGAATATCACGAGGTTTTTGTCAACATGGCAATGATAGGTTTATTTGTACGCGAAGAACTGAATAGTAATTAAAAACATATACTGTACACAATACACTACTCACTCACCTACGAGAAAAATACAAGAGTGCAGACGAAAGGAGTATCGCTTACCTCGTCACCTGCACACACACACAGCTGACATCAAGTAACGTGAACCGTGCCTGGGGGAACTAATATAACTAACGGCACATGGGACTTATGGCACAAATTCCCAAGTGAGTCTGGCCTTAAGATGATTCTGATCTATGATTGGTTCCCTATCATCACCCAAGGCAGTTCGGAAGCCAATCATGGATCAGAATATTTCTACCAATGTTTATCAAGAAACAAAACAATTGAAGTGACAACAGACTTGAGAATTTCAGTCATAACATCATATTTACGAAGCGTGCTTAGTGAGATTAATCTAATGTTCTGAGCTTTCTCATACTGCGGAGAATATTCACATCTTGAACATTTAAGGTCTCAGAGGAACCCAAGCACTGATCTAATGATAATAAATATATCACATTTTCAAATAAGAAAATAAAAGAGGCCTTGACTGAGCACGATTCAAAAATATTGTCATGATAATCTGTTCCATGTACAGTTTTTTTTTTCATTTGTGTCAACACTACATGACTTACACGACTGGCTACTGAAACGCACTTCAATGGCGGCAGTTGAGAAAATTATCTCAGACAACCGCTCTACAGTATTATAAGAGGTCGCGTATCACATGTTTCTCATGACAACAAATTAACACTGAGATAAGCGCCCAAGTGAAGTGTGTTTACGGGTTGAGGAGAAATCCTTAAAAAAAACCCCGGCGATGGAACAGATAACATCATGTTTACAGCATTTGTCAAAGAAGGACAGTACCATTATTGAAGTCTTCAAAACTCTAACAATTTTTTTTCTCTCTTACACTTAATTTGTATTCTTAATTGAGGTATTCACAATGCGAGTAAGATAGTAAGATCGTAAATCATTTTGTGATCAGACAACCAAAGATTGTAATGTCAGATTAGAAGGACGGTGAAAATACGTCTTGCTATGATAACAATTAATTTATACATTTTATATTAATTTAAATAAGCATGAATAAAATATAGTGATTAATGGTATAGCCCTTCGTCGAGTACCTAACTGTTGTTCGGACTACAGAACAGAAACATTCGCGTGTCATGGCTTTATTGTCAACAACTTATCTTTTTCCTCACAAGTTGTACAAGAACACGCGATGGTAAACACACAGTTAAAAAAGTACAAATTAACTCTAGCAGTTTTAGCCATATTTCTTGTAGTGTCCTTCAGCACCGAAGACTTCTTACTGCATCACAACAAACTTTCTTTCTTCTAGTTTGATAAATTCAGAAGTCTTCACAGCTTTAAACAGGCGTACGTAGATTAGGAGAATTACAAAAATACAATGAACATCAATCGAGGAAAACTGATTCTTCATTGTCAAGAAATCCAGAGTTCAGAACTCTCACATTATAAGCTCACGCAGTTGACACTCGCAGGTTATGTTCCTCAGTAAAGTCTCGAACCATTACTGTACAGTGAGCCTTGTGTCACCTTAACGCTGTGTATAAACAGATCACTTTACAGGGACTTTTCCAGTAATATGCGGTCAGTCACACTTGGCAATGCGTCACTATCATTGGCTACCTCCACTGGTTTTACAGCCGTAGCTTCTTGTGGGCGGGACGTCAGCAGCGGTCGCACCATCTCTTGTTCATCGAGTCTTGGAAAAGACGTGGCTCACCCCTCACACACTCACTTCACATCTTTTCACTACAACATTGGCATATTTCCCATCTTGTTTCACTCCTCGTCCTCCACTAATGAGTAAGAGAGGAAATGAACTCGCCTTTCTATTGCACATTTAGGGCCAGGGTCCCAGGCCAGTTGTCCGTAGGCTACCACACTCTGTGAGACTGGTGAGAAGAGGGCCCAGGGAGAGAGCAAGAGGAGGAGGCAAGATCAAATAAAGAGGAAAGCGGTGGCTGCACAGGTGCCACGGTCTGTCACAAGAGCGAGGTGTGTTGGGTCCTTACTCTCCACGCTGGCAAGTATTACAATAACAAAATAGTTAGATTCAATGAACTTTAAGGCTATTATTGTTATTTACCCATTTTGTCAACATTTAGGTAAACATAGGTAGACATACGTTACTTAAATATACACTGACAATTGTTGTTTGTAAAGTATTTCTTGGATACTGTTGTGAAGAACTGTTTACATGTACTTTTAACGAAACATTTTTCTGATGACCGTTACAAAAGTTAAGCAACTTAATGCTGCATCAACGGTGAGGTAACAGAGACTGAGAGAGAGACACCGTGTTAACTCGTTTACAAGTCACACATGGCCGAGGAAGCTGGTGGCTGCCACCTGAGACATTTATTGTGTTTTGATAGTTTAGTAAATGCTGGGTTACCTTGGCTTGTTGGCAACACTAATTACTTGTTTGGTACGAGTCACTTTGGACCACAAGAACAGCACCAGAGGTAATACAGAACTAAATTATTATTAAAATATATGATAATAGTTGGAGGAAAAGCTATTTTAATAAAGTCTACAATATTGAGAAACGTGAAACTAAGGAGAAGTTAAAGACCTCCATTATGGCTTCACATCATTTGAAATAGTTCAGAAATTTCACATTAAAAATATGTCTGTTTAATTTAGTTAAATTTCTTGACCTTTTAACAATCACATCAGCTCATTAATATTTAGTTCAGCCAGAATTTCTTTACGACAATACAATAAACCAACAGATACAAGAAAATCCCCACGACTGTGTTAGATTTACCATTCATGAGTGTCGTGAAGGCTCAATTAACATTCAGTTGAAGTTGAATGTTAAAAAGTGGAAAATGAAACCACAGCAGTAATGTCGTTCGCTGATGGTTACAATTAATCAAAGACTGAGGCAGCTGAACCACAATGTAGGGACAGTCTAGAACACTAAGAGGTGTTCCTTCAGTAGTGTGCCCTCCCTCCTCACGCCTTCCTCAACATAACAAACACGGAGTACAAGTGTCACGTGCCACGATCTGCAGCCAAGATACAAGAATACTCAAAACATTCTACTTATAAAAAATATGTACTAACTAAGATGTTTAGGTATGACAGAGCTTCAATGATCTACCACCACAGTTCTAGCTCACAAGTTTAACACCTCTGACTCGTTCATTAAAACTGCAAAATATGAAAATCAATGTGACATCATCTGCAGTGTAATTCACAGGTAGTTAGTAGTGATTATGTCCAATAGAAGCGTTCCTATGTGACTGGGGTCCTGGGGGGAATTTTCCCTTCGCGTAGAGCTCAGGGGAGGGAGAGCCACAGGGCCGAGGACATACCTACACTACAAATTATTAAAACAAAGGAAGAAAAAAAGAAACACAACATAAATGCACAACACATTGTAGCTCCTTGTTTGCACTTTAGCTTATAATGTAACATTGTATCAGTAAACAAGTGGTATATAATCCTAGCAGTTCTCCATCTATCATAGGGGAAAATTACTAACTCTTGTTATTACTTCACTTTCAAGATGGAAAACGACTTACAGTACAGTTCAACCTAGAAATAACAAAAAGATACACAAAACAACAATCTATGACTGTGCTGCCCTTAAGGTGCAGCCTTAGTAGTAGAGGACGTAGAGCTTTATTGTTGCTCACCACGTGACAAATGCAGACAGGTACACCAACTGGGCTCCACGTAGGAAGCCACGTCAACTAAATTACATGAGTCTAATATCTAAAGTTACTATAGGAGTCACCTCTCACCTACGTTTCACAAATGCAAAAGCAAATATTGGCTGTCTAGCTCAGCTCAGAATTCCAGAACTGGGCGTAAGATTATTGAGCTTGAAGTCGAAATATACATCCTTAGTGTTTAAGATGGAGAGAAAATAACTGGCAAATAAAAATAAAATAATCTATGATTCGTGAGAGGAAAGATTTCCAAGTCAGTTTTCTTACGTTTCAAAATACATGAATTATTATTCGCATTTTGAACAAGAACGACGGTTAATTCAGTGAAGTGACTCCAAGCAATAAACTTAGCCAAGAACTGGACGGGTAAGCTGAGTCCCCGGGAGCGGCCGTAACCCCGCATCACCCCGGGAGGCAGAGGCAGCTTGCACACATATCACAGTCGACTCTCACATCACTGTCAGTAAGCCCAGAGATCTGACAAAGTGAGGCTTCCCATACCAGAGATTCTTCAGCTATGACGGAAACCTACAGTGATGCAGAAAACAATAACACAAGGTCCTCTCTTATTACCACACACCACACTGGAGGGTCTTAACCATGTGACTATTGATCTGTTCCTCTTTAAATATAGAGTTTGTCTGGCCTGGCCGTGAAGGTCGCCTCATTTAGCCAATGAGTCAGTTTGTATGGTTTTATGAGGGACAGAAATATTACCTTATTGCTATTCATAAGAAAAACTCTGAAAATTGAGTCAATATCGAACATGTAAAGAAGATTATTTGGTGAATCCGAATTTTTTACTTTATAAATTGTAGTAAAATTGTTGACACGTAGCAGAGAAAAAACGAGACATCTCTTCAATTTCCGGCGAACTTTTATATCATAAATTATGAGTTAATGTGGAGACTGGTAGACCTGACGCATGGTCGTGGGGATTCAGACTGTCACGAGAAGCAATTTGATTTGTCATTGTCAAGACACAGAGAGCGGCTGACAGGTCATGTGAGGTCATGCCAGAATTGTAATGATAAGTTGTGTGTTGAAGTAAGATGTGTTAGGAATCCTCACTGTTCTGAATTATTTATGGTGGACCTGAAGGCGCGCGTCACTGGCTGCTAACACTACACCGTGGTAGCTCTAAGCAGACGGGTGATACTCAATATTCCTGATTTTATGTAGATAACAAATTCGCAAAATCTACAGTACTCTATAAGTTATATCACTGGCATTAGCTCTTCGTAATGAGTCTTATTACTTTATTAAGGATAATAACTGTTTCGATTATCACCTTCCTAAGTCACCCCTACGACTGTCGTTTAAATTTTTACCTCCGTGAGTCAACTTGTTATCCTGTAGAGAACCCTGAGTCATGTTTAACGCATCACCCGGTGTAGAACAGTTAAGCCCCTAGTGAACATTGTCCAGTGGTCCTCAAGGCGACCCTCACGTCGTCAGATATAATACGCCTCTGGGCTCGAATGTTACCTCAAGGTTTATATCAGAGTGTGGGATAAAGTGTGAGTGTGTCCACGTAGTCTCTTGAAGGAGACCTTCATAAACCTACAGTCCACCGTGCCCTTCACCCTGTCTAGTTAGTAGGTTATCAGTGCATTGTCAACAAGTTGGCTTGGTAGTCGTAGCAGCTGCAGGAGGCAAGCGTCCACAAACATCCCAAGAGAGACTCAAGTTGTTCTGCATCGGTTAATCAGATGATCTCAATATGTTAGTCTAAGGTCATGCAATATTTATGAACAGTTGCCTCGGTAGTGTCAGTATTTTAGTTCCATTAGATGTTAAATTTGCAAAAATTTTGTGTTACCCAAAACTAAGAAAATGTCGGAACCTAAAATAGCTACTTGGATTCAATTGTGGATTCGATAAAAAAAGGGCTAGACTAGGATAAGGATTAAAATTAAGATAAAAAAGAAACACGATTTAGGTAGAAGTCAATAGGAAAAGCTGCCGGCTGTCTTTTATAAGAGGTCGCCAGTCCTTCACGGATTTGCAGCTAATTGAAATTTTAGTTTGTGGAAGTTGTACTATAAAGGATTCATTTAGGTTTGGATACTTCATGCCCACCATCTGAAACACTCCCAGCTTCCATCCTGGTTCTCTTTACTCTTCAACCTAAGGTGGAAACTTCAACCCCATTATTCTTTGGTTCGTAACTCAAGAAGTTTCGTTCACTAATTTATCAGCTCTGGTGCTCGTCTGTATTAACTTCATATAAAATGGTCAGTGTTTTGAGGTTGTCTAGACTTACAGTGGCATGTGTAGGGCAGATTACATTATTATTAATGACAGGATTAATTACAGTACCTATTACTGGTTGTCTTGACATATGTTCACTACACACATCCTTCACTAACAACAGAGTGAAAAGAACTATTACAGTGATAACAAAATAAACACATCAGCGTATCCTTATGAATTACTATAATCTCTCTTTAACTCTTACAGACTCTTGGTAACTCGCCAGACAGGAAGGGACGTCAGAAAGTATTGGTTACCAAATACCTAACAGTACCAACTTAATAATATAATCATAATCTTGCGTTTAGTGTCAGGAATAATTAAAAAAAAACATATCTTTCCTGGTAATAATGTAAGACTGACATTTAAAAAAAGAACAGTTCTCACTAAGTATAACTATGAGGTGGTAGCGTAACGTCTTAACTTGTCCTTCTATTACCAGAGTTCTCACACGTCACCAGTTAAGAGAATCCTTACAATAAGTCAAAAAGTCTCGTTAAATATATTCTGCTGTTGGAGATTCACTAACATCCTACACTTTTTGAGTTGTTGAGTTAAAGTTGTGTGAGAGATTCTTGAAAGTTGAATCATCGATCGTTGAGTTACTGACATTTCTTCCTTCTTGGCAGCGGCGAGTTGGGTGCATATCTGAAAAGCTTTTGGGTAGGGTAGGAGGGGGGGGGGGTGATGTTGGTTGGTGTACCTTGAACGTTTGGTTATTGTTAATGAGTGGTCTGATGTTGCTGCTAAACAATAGGGCTATTGTTCAAACGCTTACCAGTAATTGTTGTTCTTGGTTGACTTGGGTTATTGTTTGAAGAGTTCTTGATGACTTGTGGCTCTTAAAGATTACTTCACGGGAGTTGCTTGTGCCTGGTGGCTCTTGAACATTTGGGTACTGTTCAGGTATAACTGGAGGCTGGTGGCTCTTGAAAAGTTTGTTACTGCTCAGGATTTGCTGGGGGCTAGTGGCTGTAAGGCAATAAACTGGCTCTTAGATCATTAGTTAATATGTAAGATGATGGTGGATGGTGACTCTTGACCTGGTGTGTTACCATTCAAGAGTTCTGGTGACTGCCGACTCTTGGACAACTGAATAATTGTCCAATAGTTATTAGTGGCTGATGACTCTTGGGCAGTTGGATTTTCTGCCCAAGAGTTCTAGTGTCAGGTGAAGTTTAGAAATGTGAATAACTTGCCGAGAGTTACTGCTGCATGGAGAGGTGGGTTACTGTCACAAAGGTCTGAAGGCTTTTAGGGAACTGAGTACTGTAGTATAGGAGATGGTGACGGCTGCAGTGGAGCCATAGTACATTACTCTGATACAATCTGGAGTGTTGGGCGAGTCTCAAGAGCTACTCAACAGCTTCTGGAGTGTCTCCATGCCCCTGTCTAGTAACCTGTGGTAATTGAACCGTCCAGCAGTTATTCCTGCTTGGTAGCTCCTGGTGAGTTAGGTTCTTGTTTAATGGAGTTTCCCCTGGCGGCAGCCGCGGCTCCAACAGTCTGACTGAGTGTGTAGAGAGCAGAAATATGACGCTCCTCGTCGCTGAGTTGTGAGGGCACCATGGCGGCTGACATTGCGAGCGCTGGGTTGGTTACAGCGATGATATTTCCCTGGCTCGAAGACAGCACCTGCGGAAATACACACATTGTAACATAAAAAAATACCTATATTACTGTAAAGATTACCACAGTCTGCTTCATACCCGGATGTAGTCAGTAATGGAGGGAGACATGTAAGGAAACAATGCTCCATCCTAGCCACATGAATCACCGACTTGGCTACAGTCGAGCGCATTATCACAGCTTCATAAAGTCAGGAAAGAGGAAGTACAAATAAAACATTGAATTTATGGTTTCTGTAAGACAATTAAGTCATGGTTTCTTTCAATGGAATTCGACAAGTTTCTAAATCAGGAAAAAAATAAAATGAATAATATTTGTATCATATAATGTACCATAGTGACTGTGGGTGTGTTTAAGAAAAAACATTTATGTACAAATACAGACAGAGATACAAGATAACTGGCCGACAGGTGTGTTAGAAAAGGAGAAAGTGTGTTGGAAATATTGTGTCAGTTCGTGAGTGAGTGAGGCCACAGACCATGGGGCTGGTTGAAGCAGCAACACACAACAAGGATGATGAAGAGTTCGTCATAAGCTGCGTCAGCGGGGCAAGAGGCGGGCGGTGTGGCCCACTAACAATTCCTTCAGTCACTCAGGATTAGTATTCATAGAACTGGTTGATGCAGAAAAGAAGCATTAGGCATCTAACTAATTACAAGTCATATATTGACACGTTAACTCAATTGTTGTGACAGAACACATCACAGTTAATATACTGCTGCCACTTGTCCCCGTCCCTCAACCAAGGTTTACTTTACGCCCCCTACATGAGTGCCTACTTGTTACTGTCACTCCCAACCTGGTCTCAATGTTTGCGATGGGGTGACAGGCAGTTCTCAGGAGTCTATCTTCTCTTCCTAACGCAACCCGCAGCTCTTTAGTGCTGCTGAGTGCACGACGTACGCTTAAGCCTCTTATAATACAACCTCCTCTTATTATCACTCTGTTTAGGATCATCCTAGAGGCCCAACACACGAGGCTGCGGGAGCCAGAGATTTTCTTACCGACGAACACACTAACTAACATAAACACTGACGTGCATTACACTATGGATCAACTTGTACACCCCACTAAGCTCCCAGCATTTTGAATATATATATATATATATATATATATATATATATATATATATATATATATATATATATATATATATATATATATATATATCACATACACAAACACACACACACACACAGCGAGCTTAGGTGTTCCCATAAGGCAGGGTGGCCAAGCAGGATAGTGGCCATGAGCGGGCAGAGCGGTGGCCCTGGGTGAGCAAGGCTGTAGTCATAGGTGGGCTGGTACTGGTCATGGTTGGGCGCCCCAGGGCGATGGCCATGGGTGGGCAGGGCGGTGGCCTTGGGTAGGCAGGACGGTGGCCTTGGGTGGGCAGGGCGGTGGCCATGGGTGGGCTGGGCGGTGGCCATTGGTAGGCAGGGCGGTGGCCATGGGTGGGCAGGGCGGTGGCCATGGGTGGACAGGGTAGGGACACACACACAGAAAATGGTAAAGAAGTCTAGACATTACCTTCCTCACCTTATTCTCGGGGTAAGAGAACATCTCAGAGTAGGTGGTGGGCGGCGACACTAGTCTGCCGGAGGCGGTGGAGGTGGGCGTCGATACCGGCACCGTCGAGTTATGCTTGCCCGCGGCCCCATCCTGCTGCTGCTGCTGCTGCTGCTGCTGCGCCTGCTGAGGGGCACGTGGGTATGTGGAGGAATCCTGAGGGCGTGAGCCAGAGACTGGGTCCTTCTGTTGGTTTAGGGACTCCTTGACCACACGTAGACCTTCGTCCACTAGGGTGTCCTGCACCAGCTGCTGTAGGTACGACTGGTGACATTAGAGGGGAATGGCGACGGGCAAACGAGAGCTGATGCAAGATGGGGAGGGCAGGCGCAGGGCAGGGCAGGGCAGGGCAGGGCAGGGCAGGGCAGGGCAGGGCAGGGGATCAGGGTAGGGTTAGGATAGGATCAGGGCAGGGCATAAGATGGCAATGTAGTGCATAGCAGGGCAAGGCGTGGCAGTACTGTGCAGTGCCGTGTAAGCCAATGCAGAGTAGGGGAGGCCAGTGCACAGTAGGGCAGGCCAGTGCACAGCAGAGCAGAAAGTGCAGTGTAATGCGGTGCAGGGCAATGTAGAGCAGGGCAGGCTAATGCAGAGCAGGGCAGGACAGTGCAGGGCAATGCAGAGCAGGGCAGGCTAGTGCAGAGCGGGGCAGGCCAGTGCAGATCAGGGCAGGACAGTGTAGTGCAGGTCAATGCAGAGCAGGGCAGGCTTATGCAGAGCATGGCAGGACAGTGCAGGTCAATGCAGAGAAGGGCAGGATAGTGAACTGCAGGGCAATGCAGAGCAGGACAGTGTAGGGTAGGAGAGCGCAGGGTAGGACAGTGCAGGGTAGTGCAGGGAAATGCAGAGCAGGACAGGACAGTGCATGGCAGTTCAAGGGGCAATGTAGAGCATGGTAGTACAATACAGTGCAGGGCAGTGTTGGGGCACAGGGGGGCAGGAGTGGTGTAGGGAACATAAGTGAGAGGGGCAGATAAATAGTGGAAGAGAGAGGAAAAGAGAGGGCTATTGTGTTTCATTGGGAGGGGTAGATTAATGGAGTGGAAGGGGTAGATTAATGGAGTGGGAGGGGTAGATTAATGGAGTAGGAGGGGTAGATTAATGGAGTGGGAGAGGTAGACTGATGGAGTGGGAGGGGTAGATTAATGGAGTGGGAGGGGTAGATTAATGGAGTGGGAGGGGTAGATTAATGGAGGAGGGTAGATTAATGGAGGAGGGTAGATTAATGGAGGAGGGGTAGGTTAATGGAGTGGAAGGGGTAGGTTAATGAGTGGGAGAGGTAGATTAATGGAGTGGAAGGGGTAGATTAATGGAGTGGAAGGGTATATTAATGGAGTGGGAGGGTAGGTTAATGGAGGGGAGAGGTAGATTAATGGAGTGGGAGGGGTAGATTAATGGAGTGGAAGGGGTATATTAATGGAGTGGAAGGGGTAGGTTAATGGAGTGGAAGGGGTAGAATAATGGGTGGGTGATGAGAAACAAATATAAAGAGGAGAGGGGATGAGAGGAGAGAGAGAGAGAGAGAGGAGGAGAGGGGAGGAGACCTAAACAAAAAAGGAGATATGACAATATGACAGACTAAAGGAAAAGAGAGGATTAAAAATTGAAAAATGAGGGAGAGTGAGGTGGAATAGGGGGAAGATAAGGGAGAGAGAGAGAGAGAGAGAGAGAGTAAGGGAAGGTAAGGAAGAGGGAGATAGAGGAGAGTAAAACGTGTGAGGACAGAAGAGAGAGCAAAACAGGACGGAAAGAGTAACAAGAGAGAAAGGGGAAACAAAGAAACAGGAAGAAAGGCGAAAGTAAGTTGGTGAAAGGGAAACAAGATGAAGATTGATAGAGAGAGAGAGAGAGAGAGAGAGAGAGAGAGAGAGAGAGAGAGAGAGAGAGAGAGAGAGAGAGAGAGAGAGACCAATAAAAGAATAAGACACTAAACAAAACACAACTAAACTAAAAACAAAATAAAATACGAAATAAAGAAGAAGAAGAAGAAGTAAAAGAAGACAACAACAAGAAAATATGAAATACGTAACAGTGACGAATAAAGGGGAGAAGAGAGAGGACGCTTAAAAAAAAAGAAGGGGAAAGAGGGAGAGGGAAGAGAGGGAGAGGGAGAAGAGGGAGAGGGGAGAGCAAATGACGTGAGAACTGAGATAAAAAGGACAGATGAAGGATTACTGGTAAAAGTGATGAAGGCATAGAGAGCTTGTGATAGTGTGAGTGAGGAAGGGAGAGTGAGGAAGGGAGAGTGAGGAAGGGAGAGTGAGGAAGGGAGAGTGAGGTGAGGTGAGGTGAGGTGAGGTGAGAGTTGAAGGAGGAGGAACAGGGAGAGAAGTGAGGGAGAAGGTTATACACGAGACAAAAATATCACATTGTCAAGCTCTCACCCAGGAACATCACTACTTGGCCATGTACACCGCTACCTGGCCATGTACACCGCTACTTGGCCACGTATACCTCTATCTGGTCACGTACTCCACTCTCTGGTAACGTACACCGCTACCTGGCCACGTACACCGTGATCTGACCATGCACACCTCTACCTGGCCACGTACACAGCTACCCGGCCACCACTTCCTGGCCACGTACACCTCTACATGGCCACGTAAATCGCTACATGGCCACGTAAACCACTACCTGGCCACGTAAACCGCTACCTGGCCACGTACACCTCTACATGGCCACGTAAATCGCTACATGGCCACGTAAACCGCTACCTGGCAACGTACACCTCTACCTGGCCACGTACACCTCTACCTGGCCACGTACACCTCTACATGGCCACGTAAATCGCTACATGGCCACGTACACCACCGACGACTCACCTGGACAAGCTGAACTTTTACACCTTATCACATTTTCTTAATTACCACACCTGATAAGCTCTATTTTAAAGCCATTGTCCTACACCTGTACGTACACCCGAGGAAAGACTGGCCTTGTGACCCTCCGTTACCTCCAAAAATCTCAAGGAGGTGATGGTGGAGGAGGTCTGGGGGGCGGTGGGGGTGCGTTACCTCTACACCCCCCCTTTGCCCATTGCCCGACGTCGTTACCACACTCTAGCCTCTCACTTCGAGAAATAACAGTAACTCGCAATCTCTCTTGGAAGCGATACATCCCTCCTGCCTCACGAGAAATTCTTCCCCCGTAAACTTTTTGGGTCTTTTTTTTTGGCGTCTTTTTTTGAGGGTCTTTTGGGGGGGGTCTTTCTTCTCGCTATTTGTTGACATTTTCGAGCGTCTTGTACGTGTGGGTCCTTACGTTGGTTGATGGTCTTAGATATATTGGAGGCGCATCTTCTTTGGGTGTGAGTTTAAAGTCTCAATGATCCAACTCTCGTCTCCTGATTCATCATGTGGGTCGTTCAGCGTTCCGCCTCGCATTACTCAGATTTAATGATTCACGTGAGGTTATTGTCTCAGATTATACTCTGCCTTCATCATCTACATCCCTCCCTCCGTCTCCTCTTATACTCCCCGTGCACCTCACAACAATGACTGTGTCTGTCTGTCTGTCTGTCTGTCTCTCAATTTTTTTCGTCTTCTGCATGAAGGTCTGTAGTTCTCCACACGTAAGAAACACACGACACAGGCACCTCCTTCAGTGTAGGACACAGCATCAACCGAGTCACTTAATGCGTGGTAACTGCCAGTGCGTAATTGCTAACCTCACCTAACAGAGAGACGCTACACACCTGCATGGTTATCCCTCTCCCTCACCATTAAGACTGACAACAACTGTTCATCACGAGAGCACTGGAGATACATATCAGTGTTCATTCTCAACACGTAAGTACATATTATTTTACACATAAATAAAACGAGAATAACCAGGAGGACTTTTACACCATCATTGCATGTTGCAGGATGATAAAGTGTATGTTGCTCGTGGCCACACCAACAACTTTTTGTTTCCTCTCTTTAATAAACTCTGGTACCATCTTGTTGCCGAAGCAGTACTTGATACCCTCCATCCCTCCCTCCCCGGTCACCTCTCTGTTTTGTGATAAAAAACAGATAAAATTCTAATGTAGATACTGGCGGCGAGTAAGTCAGACAAGGTAGTGGTGGCGACGGTGGACTGACCCACAAGTAACACCTTTCTCAGACTGTTAACATTATTATCACCCAGTTTGTTATTCACTACTGAGGAACTTTATCTTCATCCAGGTATTTATGAAAAAAAATTGGTGAATAAACCAATTAGTGTTCAATTATACACCTGAACACCTACACTGTTGGTTACCTGCTCCACCTACACACTCCATCGTTAACACACAAGCCAGGTAAGTTATATATATTAGAACCAGTATATCATTTACGACTAACCTAAAACTATATTACCACACAGTAAAGCCTTCACCACACACACACACACACACACACACACACACACACACACACACACACACACACACACACCACCTGTCCGAGAATTGCTGTTCGACACCACAACCGCATCCAGCCCATACGTGCACGAACTGATCGCTATAAGAACAGCCCAGTCCCAACCATTGTAAAATTATCAATAACATGTAATAAATCAGTGTATTCACTCCCAGTAAACACTGCTCCCTACACTGTCACTATGTTGAAATGAACTGTATTTTGAGCTGATCCCCATCTAAGTTACTATATGTCTTATTTGTGTCACTTATGTCACTTGTATATTATTTGTAATTCGTAACCCATTCCCCAAATATGTAACTGTATATTTTTCAGCCTTCTGGCTGCCAAGCTCTTTCAATAAACCGTTAATTATTATTATTATTATTATTACACACACCACACACACACACACACACACACACACACACACACACACACCAGATGAGCCTTGAGGAAAATAACACCATAACAATGTATATTAAGGTATAACTTTATATAATCCAGGAAAATGAAAAAAAAAATTAGGCACAATGAAAAATACTTGGCCTTATATGTAATAAAGAAACAAATAAACAAATATGTGTATAAAATATATAACGAGGAAAGATAAAAATAGTGTGAGGAAGATAAGGTATTAACTGAAGTAGGAAAACTAACGGATAATTTTTGTGAGCGGGGAGGCGATAAAGCAACACTAATGGGTAAATGGTGAATAATAGAGAGCGATGACGTGTGCTGGGTGACACACACACACACACACACACACACACACACACACACACACACACACACACACACACACACACACACACACCATGAAGCAGAGAGCGTATTAATGAGGAAGACAGAAAGATGTAGATAAGATGATGATAAAGC